TTAAAACCTATTGCTTAAGTCACTCTCGTGTGCTACAAGTTGACTCGATTGAGCTGATCGTGATATCATCTTTCTCCTGCAGTATGGGAGTTATCAACGCCGATTAGTTGTGGATGATTTGAACACAAAATGGAGGCGACTCGTAACGAACACCTCGGTTTGTCTTTGTTTCTTTTACCCTTGATGACCATTTGAAATCTTCAATGTGGTGGGCTAATTGTTTTCTTTTTCTTTGGTGGATAATTTTTACAGCCTGAAACACCTTTGGAACCCTGTGCTTGGTTGAATAAGCTGTTGATGGAAGTATGGCCAAATTATTTCAATCCAAAACTTTCCACAAAGCTTTCTTCCACAGTAAATGTGAGTGACCAACTCGTTCTCACTATCCAGAACTTTAATGCTATTGGTTAAACACAAATCTGATATCATTTAACTTAGTTAAAAATTTCTCTATGCAGAAACGGTTGAGGGACCGAAAGTCGAGGCTTATTGTGAGTAGACCTACTTTTTGGCCATTCCATCTTGTAGAAATTGTTGACAAGAACATGAATGTGCACAAATATTCATATGTATAATCACATTGCTCAATTTCGTGTAGGAAAAAATCGAACTGCTGGATTTTTCTCTTGGCTCATGCCCTCCTAGTTTGGGTCTTAGTGGGGCTCGATGGTCAACTTGTGGTGATGAGGTTGGGCTCCTCTTCTTCTTCTTCATTGCTACTACATATGTTTATGTTGTTATGACTTCTTCTTTTTATTCGTTGCTACTACATATGTTGAATGTTTACGACTCGGTTGGTCTAGTGGTCAATAAGGATGATGAGAATAGTTAAGAGTTTAGTAGGAATGAGTTCAATCCATCGGTCAATAAGGATCATGTGAATAGTTAAAGAGTTTAGTAGGAATGAGTTCAATCCATCGTGGCCACTTGCCTAGGATTTGATATCCTACGAGTTTCCTCTAGAAATCAAATTAGGACTTGATCTGAACGAAGTTTTTCATTGCGTTTTGACAGAGAATCATGCATTTGAGTTTCGATTGGGACACAAATGAAATGAGTATTTTGTTGCAAGCAAAGCTGGCCAAGGCACTGATGGGAACTGCCCGGATTGTCATAAACAGCCTCCATATAAAGGGTGATGTACGTATAATTTCTTTCCCTCTTCCCTCAGCATGAGTTGCACAAGGTTCATTCATGAAATATAATAGATTCACCAAGAGAGTGATCATATTCATTTGGACGTTTTTTACTGAAAAGTTGCAGTGCATAAAATTTCATTTGTTGTTGTTTGGATTACCATTACAGCTTGTGTTGATGCCTATTTTGGATGGGAGGGCAGTTTTATTTTCATTTGTGACAACTCCTGATGTAAGAATAGGAGTTGCTTTTGGAAGTGGTGGAAGCCAATCATTACCTGCAACAGAGCTCCCTGGTGTTTCCTCCTGGCTGGTATATTTCTACATCAATCTGCAAATTTGTTTCTATCTTTTTCTAAGCACTACCAAGTTTTATTATACTGTGGAATAAGTGCAACCAACACTGGTTGCATAGCCCGTTCGAGTAGCTCAACGAACCATTCTCTCTAATGCAGGTCAAAATTTTTACAGATACCCTGGTTAGGACAATGGTCGAACCACGCAGGCGTTGTTTCTCATTGCCATCTGTTGATCTGAGGAAAAAAGCTGTTGGTGGTATTATATATGCAACAGTCGTTTCTGCCAGAAAACTTTATAGAAGTAGTTTGAAGGGAAGCCCACCCAGAAGGCAACAAAGTTACTCTGCTAATGGTTCATTCGTAGAGCAGTTTACTGATAAAGATATGCAGACATTTGTTGAGGTTGAACTTGAAAAGCTTAGTAGAAAAACAGAAGCAAGATCAGGTTCAGACCCTCAGTGGAATACGACATTCAATATGATTTTACATGAAGATACAGGAACTCTACGGTTTCATCTTTATGAGTATCGACCAAGTCATGTGAAGCATGATTATCTAGCAAGTTGTGAGGTTAAGGTATAAATTAATCAATAACCATATAGTTTCCTTTCAAGTTCATGCATACCATTTCTGAAAACCAAGCTAGTAAAAACATTTGTATATTACAAAGCGCTTTAACTAGACTTTGAATGGATGCGGAGTGTGAGTTTTCAGTAAAATTCTAGGCATTAGCTGATTTAAAGTTTGTTCTATGAGCACAGATGAAATATGCTGCAGATGATTCCACTACATTTTGGGCGATAGGGCCAGATTCCAGTGTAATAGCCAAGCATGCTGACTTTTGTGGAAAAGAAGTTGAAATGGTCATTCCATTTGAAGGAGCCCATTCTGGGGAGGTAAAATCCTAGCCACTCTCTCTATGTATGCTTGTGTTAAAATCAATAGGACCCGTTACCAAGCATTGATAGTGTGAGATCCTACATTGGTTGGAGAAGAGAACGAAACATTCGTTATAAGGGTGTGGAAACCTCTCCCTAAAAGACGCGTTTTAAAAACCTTGAGGGAAGCCCGAAAGGGAAAGCACAAAGAGGGCAATATATACTAGCAATGGGTTTGGGCTGTTACATATAGACAATAGTGATGCAAAATTTAAATGATCGAGCTTCAATGCTTACATTTTTCAGAGGAAGTATCAGTCAGTGATTCTTCAAAAAAGTTTATGAAAGAAAGTACTGAACTTATAAGGGGTCTTTCAAAAGTCATCCTAAACTCACTCGAACAAAAGAAAATACTTCACATGGGAGAATCAGTTCCTATGTGTTTTGTGATAATTTTTACTACTCTACCTGTGTTGGCTAAGTAGCGATCAGTAGCAGCTGATTCTCTCATGCTGACACACTATTTTAATGCATGGTGTTGCAGCTGACAGTAAGGCTTGTTTTAAAGGAATGGATGTTCTCAGATGGTTCACATAGTTCTAACAGGTATCATGTTAGTCCACAACAATCTCTCGATGGGGCGTCGAGTTTTCTTTCTAGCACTGGAAGAAAAATTAACATCACAGTTGTGGAAGGGAAGGATCTACCCACAAAAGACAAGAATGGAAAGTGTGATCCGTATGTCAAATTGCAGTATGGAAAGGTAGTTTCCTTTCCTTCTAATTTACCAAATGTTTTCATAGTTATATCCAATATTAATACTAATTATGCGTCCTTTCGATGATTCGTCACATAATTTCAGGCTCTCCAGCGCACAAGAACTGCTCACTCCTTCAATCCAATATGGAATCAGAAGTTTGAATTTGATGAGATAGCTGGTGGTGAACATCTTAAGTTAAAATGCCTTACAGAAGACATTTTCGGGAACGATAACACTGGTAGCGCGAGGGTAAATCTAGAAGGATTAGCAGAAGGGTCAGTTAGAGATGTATGGATTCCTCTTGAAAAGGTGAATTCTGGAGAATTAAGGCTTCAAATAGAAGCCATCAGAATGGATGACAATGAAGGATCTAAGGTATGAGACAGAACTTTGTCTTTCATGATTAAGCAAGAAAGTTTAGCAAGCTCATGTCTGAATCATATGATCCTTCATTTCCTCAGGGCTCAAGCTTGGGTCCAACAAATGGTTGGATTGAGCTTGTTCTAATTGAAGCAAAAGACCTTGTTGCTGCGGATATCAGAGGGACAAGTGATCCTTATGTGAGAGTCCAATATGGAAAGTTGAAGAAAAGAACCAAGGTATCTTTCAAGTTCCTGTTCATGATCATGTCAGATTCTTCACAACCATAAGATTCTTTAGGAGAACCGCTTCAAATTAGTTTCTTTTAGAATAATTTGTTGTGAAATTGATCACCAGTTCCTCGCAGGTTATGTACAAAACCCTGAGTCCCAAGTGGAATCAGATTTTGGAGTTTCCTGACAATGGCAGCCCATTGTTGTTACATGTCAAAGACCACAATGCTCTGCTCCCCACATCAAGCATAGGTGATTGTGTTGTGGAATATCAAGGGCTACCCCCAAACCAGATGTTTGACAAATGGATACCACTTCAGGGTGTCAAAAAGGGAGAGATACATATCCAAATCACCAAGAGAGTTCCAGAACTAGATAAGAGAACTAGTTTGGATTCAAGAACCAGTCTGGATTCTGAAATTCCCTTGAGGAAAGCACATCAGATTTCCAGTCAGGTCAGTTGTACTGAAGAAACTTTTTGATAAATTTAAAATTTATACTTACAGTCCAATTTGTTGAGATGATATTATGCATCTTTGGTGGAATCTGGTTGAATAACTTCAAATCTCTTCTTCTGCTTTGGAAAACTTGCACAGATGAAACAGATGATGAATAAGTTACAAAGTTTCATTGAAGACAGCAATCTTGAAGAAATTTCAACAACTGTGAGTGAGCTGGAAAGTCTAGAGGATCTGCAAGAAGAGTATATGGTACAGCTTGAAACAGAACAAATGCTTTTAATAAACAAGATTAAGGAACTTGGTCAGGAGTTTCTCAACTCATCCCCTTCCTTAAGCAGAAAATCATCTGGATACTAATCAGATCCATCAGGTTCTCAACTTTTGCCCCAGTTAGCAGTACAAATCATGACTTGACATGCATTTTTGAGATTCTGATGCAAGTGTACACGTTCTTTAGAAGAGTCCATCAATGCATATGGACACTTCATGTTCATTTTCGTATAGGAATTCTTATTTGTTCTGAACAATTGGGAAGAATTTGCCTCATTTGTTAAGCTAACAGCAAAAAGATTGTAGATGTTGGGACCTCTGATTTCTCGAGTACAATCATGATGAATGATGAAAAGAAAAATGGTGCCCAAAGTGTTCAGATAAAAACACATCTTAACAATATAGTTTTCAGCATTACAAATTCTTCTCAAATCAAAGCAAACTAAACTGCATTTTAGTTTGAGTTATGAAGTCACGTCTGCTCTATTAACTAAATCTACTTTCATGTACCAATTTACTTTACCAAAATGGTTATTCACCAAAATATGTAAGATAAATAATGGCGAATTCGACAGCAAACAAATACTCTTACGGATAGGCAGCAAGCCAAAATTTATAACTGTAATATATCAATCTGAATGTCAATACTTAAAAGTTAGACAATAGTAAAAAACTTGCCCTAGAAGCCTAAAAGCCATTTTGAGGATGTCCAACGATGCAAGAGTTGAGGGGAAAGGAAGAGGGATAAATCAAGATGAGATTGCCTCCCTTCCAGAACACTGTTCATTGGCGAAGCATCTTCTGTAGCTGATGCACTTGACTCCTTTGCTCTGGAGGCAGGAGATTAATTTGTTCTGGTGTGAGACTCATGACTTGTTGAAGTAGCATCATCTCCATCTCCTGACTCAACTGAACCACAAACAGAGAGGGAGGCAAAGAATCAATCACAAAAGATGAAAATAAAATATTGACAAATTGTCATTCCAAGCAGTAGTCATTAGAAAAGTACCGGTGGTGCAGGACGAGGCTGATTGCCAGGGCCCATCTGGCCAGTGCCTGATGGTATTAGTGGTGGTCCTGAGAGTTGCTGTGGAAGTGTAGGATTCTCTGGAGGGCCATGCATCCAAGGCCCTCTGTCCACAGGCTTTGAAGTTCCAACTTGATTCATGACTTCTGTACCTACTTTAGAACCTCCAGCCTGAGACAAATGAGCACCAAGCGCAATATTAAGCATTGAGGAGCTAATACTGTGGTTCTTTGATAAATTGTTCGTGAAGGCTTTAATAACTAGGTTTAAAAAGTAGTTGGCATGCTCAACCCCTGCTTGCACTGTACAAGCACTATCTTTTATGATGAGTTTATCACTAAGAATTATAGTCCGCAAGTACAATAGTCAATGACGGACAAACCGGCACCTATATTGAACAGCATAGTCAAGGACTCGAGATATGCATGCATCATGGAACATGATTAAAAACTAAGCTGAAACTGCACGTCAAGAGTGTACTGGGTCAAGAAGTCAACGAATCCACCTCACAGCCAATTGAAAGAAAGAAGCCCCTGCTCCTCTCAGGACTCACCAGCCTAAGAACTCAATTGATCTAGTATATTCAGGATAAACACATCATAATCCAGTATGTAAAGAAAAAAGTACCTGATACAATGACTGAGGGGGTGGTTGACTAGGAAGTGGCGACTGTCCCTGGGGAAATGAATTTCCTATACCAGGAGGGAATTTGGATCCTGACTAGAACATTAAAAAATAGACTAAAGAGGTTGAGAGATCATTTTCATCTGGAGATTTGTTTGTTGTAAATCCAAAGGAGAATTGTGACTTGAAAAATAAAACTCCGACTTACATGAAAAATGGGTCGAGCAGGTTGGTAATTCATATTGTGCCCCGTTTGAGGGGGGTAGTGCTGACGAAAATTTGGACCCGTAGGAGCTCTGGAATGTGGGGGCAATGGGGCCTGTAGAGGCAGATGGGGAATTTCAGCTGTTTGTAATGGCTGCTGCAGCTGCATGGAAGCACTTGACATCGGGGGTTGATGAAGTAAAGGTGGCTGAGCAGCAGATGGAGGTACCGGAGGTACACTCGGAATTTGAGATGGCTGTGAGACAGATATGGAATTCGCTTGGGGCATCTCAAACCCCTTGGGATGCTGCAGTGTTTGCAGGGGAATCAGAGGTGCTGACTGAGGCTGGATGTTCCCTGTAGGAAGAGTAGTTGATGAGATGAGCATTGATGGTTAGTTCTGATATAGTTTTATAGGAGGGGCCAATGGTGGTGCACCTGTCTGTTCTTGCAAACTTATTTGACTTGCTGATGTTTGAGTTGGCTGAATATTTGACTGTTGAGTTGTTTGTGTTGATGGCTGAGAATGCTGTGGGGCTGAAGGCTGGACGCTTGGAATCTAAACAGAAGAATGACTTAGATATACACTTATAAGCTAACGGAAAAATGCAGGATAAAGAAAAAAACAGAGGAATAACAATGGCATACTACCTGAGGAGGCCGCACCATCCCAAGCATAATCTGCGCCTGGTAGATACAACAGTGGAATCAATAACATCTTCAGTAACCAAATGAGAAATTAAAGGTAAGGCCTCTAAATGTGCAGATTAACTAGTAAAAGCGCACACACTATTAACCATTACGAGGTAATAAGACAGAAATTTCTCATGCTTCAGACTACTTTTCTCGTCATTAATATACACGTCCTTGCAAATTCAATTGGGAAAAATTGAGTTATACTTCAAAACTTGCTTGGTTTCACCCGAAATGGATAAATCCATTCATTCAAGAAAATGGTACAACAATTTTAAGTCCATAAATATCAAAATTAAACCTCGTAAAAGATTGTGCAAACGTGCGTACAAACGTACATTACTTGAACACATTCAAAACTGTTTCACTTCTGCCAGGAGTAGATTAACAGCGCAAGCTCTAAATAGTAAATGAAAAGAACTTTGTTCAAGATGCGAAAAAAACTAAAAACTTGAACCTGAAAAAGAGCTTTGGTCAAGGCGGGGTTTTGGATTAGGATTTGCTTCGCCTGCTGTTGATTCTGTTCGATCAGAGTCTGCATAACAATAAACACATCAATCATTCCTCAATATCCAGACATTGCTTGGAGACGAAGCCCGAATTGAGTAATCGGACGAAAACGGGGACGGACAAATGTTGATTCCGATAGCGAGACAATTTGAAAGTACCTTCATTTGAGACATTATATCATGTAGTTGGTTCTTCGACATTCCTGCGATGCTCTCCGATAGACCAGTGCCGGCAACTTGCTTTCCGGCCATGTTCGACGTCCCAACGCCAACTGAGACCAAAGATTGTTCCTTCTCAATTTCCCGCGAAGAACGCAGCCAGATTTTGTTCGTATTTATCCAACGGGATAGCGTTTGCTTCGGCCCAATTTTATTGGGCTTTGAAAGGAGCTGAAATGGGCCCAGTGACTGAAAGTCCGTTGAACCCGGCCCGTTAGTTACCGCTCAGCAATGAAAAATGGCGCGTTGTGCTCCGACGATTCTGAGACTGAGTAGGCACAGAGAAGAGGGAGGGGAAAAACTATGGGGAGGAAGAAGACAGTGGAGTTCGATGAATCACCGCCGGACGATTTCGATGCGGAGCATCCGTACAAGGATCCAGTGGCGATGCTGGAGATGAGGGAACATATTGTGAGAGAGAAATGGATCGAAATCGAAAAGGCGAAGATACTGAGGGAAAAACTAAGATGGTGCTACCGCATCGAAGGAGTCAACCATCTTCAGAAATGCCGCCACCTTGTTCAGCAATACCTTGATTCCACTCGCGGCATCGGTTGGGGCAAGGATGGACGCCACCCATCTCTTCATGGTTCTCTCTTTTAGTCACTCATTCTATTTAATTTCCAAGAAGTTTGGATTTTTTTTGGACTTTTATTTGCCGTTTGGGTAGAAAGTGGAGATATTTCGAGTAACTGAAAGTAGGTTATGATTGGGTCTGGTACTAACCGTGGCACTTTGCTCTGATTTTGAAGTGTTGTTTTCTATAATATTTCTTGGTGGATACATATATTTTTTTTTAAAAAAAAATTAATGTGTTTCATGTCTAGCTTTTGAAGTCGGGGTACTCACAGGCTGCATTATTCTCCTTTTGTTTTTTTTTCTTTTCTTTTTATCCATCATGTTCCCTATGCAATTTAACTGACTTGAGTGAATGAAGTATAAATCATCTGATGTTGTCTCTTCTTGCTCTGGTTAGGTCCTAAAGTGGAGGCGGTCGAAGCTGAGTAAATTTCTGGTAGGAATAACGGTGAGTTTAAATGTTCCTAAGTTGTTAGGTTATTACTTGGTCTTACTGATTATCAAACCTTATTTGTTTCAGAGATTGAATAAAAGAACGATGAATATTAGCCCTTTATTTTATTTCGTGTACTGCTACGAGGGGTGTAAAGAATTTTGAACTCAGATCAATGGTCAATAATTCCTTTTAATTTCCATTTCTATGTTGTGTGAGAACTTTGTAGCAATGTACAGTAAGGTTTCCTAACATTTTTCTCACTAGTGGTTTGATTTTGAGAATGATTGAATTTTTTTTCACAAGGCATTCAATCATAGTTCTTTCAAGCGTATGTATAAGACCTGACATTAACAGTGTGATGGGTGGGGGTGGGGGTTGTTGAAGCTGTATATACCTTTGTTGACGTTGTCTCATAATTTGTTGTCCTTAGAAGTAGTGTGAGTTGGGAATACTGTCATTCTATGGGATTCTCGCAATTTGGTGTCCTTAGTGGTGTGAGGTGATTTGATTCACCTTTTCAATCATACCATTTGATTTGAGTAGATCACTTGTGCTCGAGGTCCAACGATGCATAGGGATAGAGATGCTCTTTGAAGTAGCTGGGTTGGCATTCTTGGGTGATGCTGGCATTGTTGGTGTGTTGTTGCAGGCTTTAGTGCAATTATATTCCACATGAAGAAGTTGAATGTGAAAAGGATTACTTCGAGTAGTGCTTTTAATAGGTTCATTTGAATTCTTGATTAGTTGGAACCTTTCTTGTTAGTGGTAATTTCTCTTGTTCCAATCCTTTTGCTTTAATGATATACCGTAGTCTTTGACAAATTCGTTTTTGTTCAAAGGTTGGTTGGATGTTTTCAAGGTCATCTAACATTATTTTTTGTTGAAATATTGTGGACCATTGGCCTATTCTTCTCAAGGGTTGCCGAGAGGGGTCTTTGGCCACTTAGTTTTGAGAACATTTGAAAAAAATGGTGTGAGACTTGTTGAGGGAGGGAGGGGTGAAACTGAAGGTTGTATCCAAGTTGTGCAGAGTAGGGTGGTTTGGAAGTTGACAATCTAGCAAATAAGAACTTTGCTCTTTTTACTAAGCTGGTATGGCATTACCCTTGAAGTCTGATGCAGATATAGGCGTCACTCGTCCTTAGTCGAAGGCGTTATAAGATCAAAGCAGAGCTTTTGGATATTTCCTCCAACGAAGAAGCATCTTGGAAACAAGAATGCAAATTGAGATGGACACTAGAGGGGGACAAAGACAACAACTTATTCCATAGATTCATTCATGTCCACAAGAAGGAGACAGAACACCGTTGTTGTGATTTTATCCAGAGATGGCATTAGTTTGGTCTTGAACACTGATATGGAGATCGAATTCATTGATTTTTACATGACGTTATACAGCAAGGGTCAAGTTAGTAGACTTCCTCCAATCATTGAAAATTGGGCTCCAATATCAGCATCTCAATCCTTCGACATTGAAGCCTCTTTAACAGAAGAGGAGATTGGGAATGCAATAAAGGACCTAAGATCCAAATCATCTGGACCAGATGGTTATACCACTGAATTCTTTAAAAAGCATTGGAACATTCTTAAGGATGGCATTAAGGGAGTCTTCCAAGACTTTATTCAGAATGCCATCATCAATGCAAGCCTTTACAAAGTTTATATTTGCCTCATCCCGAAGAAGAGTGATGCCAAATCTGTGGGAGATTATATGCCCATCACCCTTACCTCATGCCTGTATAAGATCGTGGGCAGGTCCTTTCAGAGCGTCTTAAGAAGTTCCTTCCCCTCACTCTCTTAGTTTCAACTTGCATTCATGGTTGACCGACAGATTACTGATGCATACTTAATTGCAAATAATCCCATAGAGGAATACATGTTGTCCTTGAGGGGGTTGTTATCAAATTGGATACAAAAAAAGCCTTTGTATGGTTGGTTGAGACTTTTTTTTACAATATTCTGGCCGGCTAAAGGTTCTGGAACAAAGTGGCCAAAGTGATTTTAGGGCTGTATTTCTCGGCTAATTACTCCATCATCATTAATGACAAGTCTAGTGATCAAATCATCGCTGTTCAACTAGGTGATCCCCTACCCCATTTCTTTTTATCCTTGTGATAGATCGTTTAAGTCGTATATTTCTCAAGAGGCACGTAAAGGTAACATCAGAGGCTTTGAGGTGGGAGGGTGTAGTCTTACCACTTACAATTTGCAAACGACACCATTCTAGACAAAGGAAATGTTCTCACTAGTTTCCATACCATACACACTTTGAAGAAGCATCAAGTTATGTATCAACCGCCAAAAATCAGCATTCTTAGGCATTCATCTGGCCTTGGATACACTTGCATCCCTTGCCCATGATTTCGGTTGTGAAGTGGCTTCATGGCCATCGGTCTACTTGGGCCTCCCCCTGAATGGTAAGCCTCACACTAATTCTTGTACAGTGCCCTAGGGGGCTTAGGGTTATTTGTTATGAAGACCAAGAACTAGCCTCCTGCCAAAATGGCTCTGGAGATTTACTCTGAAAAATCTGCCCTTTGGAGGAGATTCATAGTCTCTAAATATGGCTTGACCCACTTTCATATGCATCTGGTGTACAAAATGCTCAAATATCACCGATGTCCTTGGAAGTTTATTATGGATAATTACTTTTGAAAGTTTATTATGGATAATTACTTTTGATTTACGACTATATTGTGAATATTATTGGCAATGGGAAATCCACCTCATTTTGGAATGACAACTGGGTTGGTACAACTCCTCTAAATTTGGCTTTTATGCCCTTCCCCGTTGTAAGCGTGGTTTGATGTGCTGAAATATGGAACTCTGATGACTCTTCATGGGATTTATGTTAATGCCGTAGTTTAACGGATGATCAAATTTTGGAATGGGCTGATCTTTCCTCCATTCTCCTTCCCCTTCCAAGATCAACTATAGATGATTATTGGAAATGGACTTGGGATGTTAAAGGAGCCTTCTCCACCAACTCCCTCACAAGCACCTTACAAGCATATGTTGAGGGGTCCAATTCTTAAATTTCCTTTCGGAATTAAGCCATGAATACATAATACAGCGGATGCATTGCTCAAAAAGGATCGCTAAAAAAGGCTCCTTGAATAGTCTCCTCTCCTAGTTGGTGTGTCCTTTGTCGAAATAGGTATCAATCTATGCTGCATTTATCCACTACCCGTCAATGTGCACGACTTTCCATCTACATCTTACCCTTCCGGGCAATATGATCATTATGCTTGAATCTTTGATCTTAGGTCATCATTTCACTGAAGGAAAGCTGCTATGCGGGTTTATATCATCAAACCTTTTCTTTGGTCCATTTGGCTCGAGTGGAACCATTGTATCTTTGAAGACAAGGCACAGGACTTCAATTCTTTCTTCGACCCTTTGATTTATTGTGCCCTCTCTTGGTGTAAATTTTCTCTATACCTTGTGATTATAGTATTACGTCCCTCATTCTTTCTTCGACCCTTAGCCTTTTTTGTACCTTTCATACTATCAATGAAATGAAGTCATCCGTTTCTCATTCAATTTTTTTTAATAATTAAACCAAGTGTGTTGAGACAAATCAAGGTACAAAAGAGGGCCACAGCCCAAGACTCTCAAGACTGAGCCCCGCCTCTCAAGACTTGTATGGTTTCTTTATTTCTTTCATACCAAATATTTCATAAAATAGTGACGTAGCCGGCCCTGCCATAACAAATGGCTTGTATCTTAAGAAAGAGAATCTCTTCATTGTACTTGGATTGATAACAACAATGCCAAAGCCTTACAAGATTGTTTGCAAAGAACACCTTTATGTACAAAGTCTTGCAGAAGAAAATGGCAGAGGGCTCAATACTGACCCCTCGAATTACATATAGGAGGCCAACTGAATGCTAACTTCTACTTCCTAGTCGAGTTGATGCCTTTGGTGATTCTTGCTTGTCATTAAACCTATGCTGCATTTATTCACTACTCGTACATGCTAGTCAACTAATGCTAATTTGTGTTTCTCAGTCAAAAACCTTTTTTTTTTATAGATTTGTTCAAAGCTCAAACTTTTCGTCAAGGATCTTTATATTCCAAATTGTAACTTTTTTTTTTCAATCTTCCACGAAGTTATCCAAAAACCTGATAAGAATGTATCATATTCTAAAGCTTCAGCCATTCAATAGCATAATTTCTGGTTTAGACGATCAAATTTATTGATTAGACGCATAACCTGTTGGTTTCTGGGTTTATTGGCGATCATATTTCTAAAAGATAGACATTGTTTATCTTAGTGTTCATGCTTTCAAGGGATTACATTCCTGCAGATAAGATAGAATAATGTGGGTGTGTGCTTTTTTTGTTTGCCTTTTCTGATTCGCTTTCTATCCAAAAAAAGGAAAAGGGGGAAAAGGAAGGAAAAACAGGAATAATTCGTGTAATATCTATCTGCTACAGAACAGAACTGGTTGCTGAGCTAGAAAGATTCAGAAACTTTGGAACTTCGATGCCATTTTGTGATTTAGAAATTGAACAAACTGACAAAGTAGTGAGAATATTATCTCATTTGGAAAGCCTTTGTACTCTTTGAACGAAAGTGAATTCCAATTTCCAATAGCTGAGTTTTTTATTCACCAGCACTTTTGCTGCGGAATGACAGCAAATTAATATCAAATGTATTGACTGACCCCATTCTTAGAAAGTAAATTTTATCCACCTACATATTCGGAAGGTAGGTCTGCTAATCTTTTCATGTTGAATTGCGAGTTTTCTCAATGTTTGAGCCATTTTCATGAGTTGTGTTCGAGAAGCCTGCAACTTTCTGTAATTGAATTGGAGCTTATATGAACTATGATTTGCTAATTCTATAAACTAGATATATTTACTTGGCTGGTTAAAATATTAGTTTAGTCCTTTTACTTCGAGAGACGTGTCCTATTTAGTTACCGTACCTTAAAATTTTGAAGTTTGTTCTCATACTTTTCAATAAATCTTAAAAATCCTTGACAACAATAAGGAGCCCTTTTAAGATTTATGGAAATCATATGGACTAAATTTTAGATTTCTTTCTATGGTTGGGAAACTTCCCAATATTCTCCCGATATTATGACCACTGGATGAGGAGTAGACGAATTGGACTTTGGGTTTTGTGGGAAACTTTATATTCATTAATTTAGACAATTCAAAGACAGCAACCTTAAAATCTTCAAAAATTGATGAATCATTCATAAAATTTCTTGGAGATTAGTAATGAATAGACCTCTCATTTTAAGATGTGTACTGTTCTGGTTTCCTTAGGATTCTTCTTTTCTTCTTCTCTTTCCTCCCAACTTCCCCCAATAGCCCTTTATGACAGCATCTTAGTTGGTAAGCTATGATGCTCTTTGATCAATTTATTCCCATGATTTAATGACTTTTGCTATGCTAAGATACAATATCATAAGATTGTGTCATTATCATAGCTAATAAATTTGTAGCTTCCTATATGATAGGAAAGAATGAACCTTAGGCATATCAAATTTAAAATTATATCAATACTTGGAATCTTTTTTATTATATCATGTTCTAAAAATATATATATATATATATATATATATATATATATATATATATATATATATATATATATATATATATAAAAGATAGAGAATCTTGTTGTTAGAGTGTATGCTATCACTCTTAGCAATGGTACTTTCTAAAAGGAATATCTATGTTTACCAACCATTTTAAAGTTCATATAAAATCTATTGCATGTGTTTGGAATAGCTTTGGTGCCTTTTCAACCGTTGAATTAGGGTGATGGGACTCTTACCCTAGTGTTCTATATTGATCAAGATTTGAATTTAAAATCTTCCGTATGTGTTGAATCTTAGGTAGCCAATTGAAGTGGGTTTGATAGCCTAAGGTATACGAGATGATAGAAAAATAGTTCTTGTTTTCGAGCTGAGCTATACGAATAAGGAGAATAAGAACTAATGGTAAGCGAAGAAATTCGTTTCAATAATAGTCAAATCTGTCTTTTCAAAATCGAGTCGGGGTGTTGTTATATGTTTCATGTGAGAAAGGGTGGGTAGGAGAAAGGGTTTGATTTAGTATGTGATTAGGTAAGATAAGAGAGAAGTTGGGGGAAAAGGGGACAAAAGGGTGGGGAATGGACGGATGAAGGATGAAGAGGGAGAGCAGGCAGAGTTTGAAAATTGGTAGCAGCTTTGATCTTCTTCTGTTCTTGAAGCCGCCTCCCCATTTCTGGACCCACTTTTTTCCTTTTCTTTTTGTTTACGTTTCGGCTGTGTTTTTGCCGAGATGATCTTGAATTGACATGGCGGCTTTCCTCTTCCTCTCTCTCTCTCTCTCTCTCTCTCTCTCTCTCTCTCTCTCTCTCTCTC